AAATCCAACCTTTTATTGAAGATTAACAGGACTCAAAAGAACAGGACTTAAGAGATTCTCATCATAGGACTGATCTGTAAGCCCAATGGAATGTAATCAGGCCTCTGCTTTTTTTAAATGCCTTTGGGAAGATTCTGAAATTAGAGCAACAACAGCAACAAAGACTAAAGATTATATAAATACCTGGTGTCAGCAAGATAACAGAAGTGACAATCAAGGAGCAGATAACCAGAATCACAAGTAGAGCAATTGCAATTCCTTTCCAGTTCCTTTGCGGAGGATTGCTTCCCACCAGCTCCTAAAAGCAACAAAAAAGGAAGAAACAATGAACAAAGAGAAAGTGCAACAACCTAAATCTAAGGAGCAATAATAAGGTAAATTTTAACAACGATAACTATTATGGTGGTGGCGGCGCAGTGGTTACAGTCATCAGGCAAACTCTGCTCATTGCCAGGAGTTTGATTTTGACTGGCTCAAGGTTGATTCAGCCTTCCACAGATTCAGATTGTTGAAGAGGCAATATGCTGACTCTGTAAACAGCTTAGAGAAGTTGTAAAGCACTATGAAGCGGTATGTAAGTCTAAATCCTAGTGCTAGTGCTATTAAATCACCTAAGTTTTGAAGAGACCCAATTTCCATAGGCTTCTATATTATGGATACCTCTTCAGGATCTACTTCTGTCCTACTACCACAGCACCATTGAGAGTGTCCTGACATACAGCATTCTTGTATGGAATGACAGCAGCTCTGTAGTGGATAAAAGAGCTCTACAGAGAATCATTAAAACTGCCCAGAAGATCATTGGGCTCCAGCTACCAGCCCTAGATGACATCTTCGCCTCTCGCTGTCTGAGGAAGTTGCACAACATTCTCAGAGACTCTTCCCATCCTGCTTACAATCTTTGTGAACTGTTTATGAACCTTCTGGCAGAAGATACAGAACAGTTAAAACTCGACCACACATTTTCTGAACAGTTTTTTTTTTATCCCAGAGCTATAATTGCACTTAACAATGAACTTAAGGACCACCATCAGTGAGCTGCTGGACAGTGTTTTGTGGATGCTTGTGTGTTTTTAGGAGATGGGGAATTTTGGTGGGTGAGGTTGTGTTTGGGGATTGTCATGTGTGTGTGGATGTTGGGTCTGGTCTCTGGGTGTTATGTGAATTTCACTGTATGCGTATACTGTGTATATATGCACAACAATAAATAATAATAATAATAATAATTTATTTAATAAATTAATAGATTTAATAAATTATTATTAATAATTTATTAAGTAAGCAGGAATGTCTTTGTTCATTCACTTAGTCACATTCAAAGTTACAACAGTGGTGAAAAAAGTGACTTATGAATGATTTTCACACTTACGATCTTTGCCGCATTCCCATGGTCACATGGTCAAAATTCGAGCATTTGGCAACTGGCATGTACTTATGACTGTGGCACTGTTTTGGTGTCCTATGATCACCCAGTTGGTTTGCGATGAGCAATGTCAATTGGGATAACCGGATTTGCTTAAGGACTATGTGATTCACTTAATGACCACAGCAATTCATGTAATGATCACAGTAAAAATTATTGTAAAATCAGGCTAGGCATATGATGACCTTAATGACTGTATTGCCTAGCACAGGACTCTTCAAACTTGACAGCTTTAAGACTTGTGGACTTCAACTCCCAGAATTCCTCCTCCAGTCATGTTAGCTCAGGAATTCTGGGAGTTGAAGTCCACAAGTCTTAAGCTTGCAAAGTTTGAAGACCCTTGGCCTAGCAGTTGAAATTCTGGTCCCAACTGTAGCCATAACTACTGGTAATAGAATATAATGAAGCCAAAAGGGTAAGAAAAGAGGATATGTACACAAAAAAAGGTCCACGGAAAGGGAAGAGAAGAAAGAAAAAAATTATTCCAGAAAGAAGAAATGGAAAAAGAAAGTAAAAGACACCTGAATTTGTTTATCCTTCCAAGTAGCAGTCAGTTTGATATATGATTATGTATTTGTTTACTGCAATTTATGTGCTGTTCTAAGCCAAACAGGGCACCAGGGAATGCTTCTTCTTGTAGATAGCTCATGTCCAGCTCATGACAGCCTGTTTATTCCCATGCATAAACAAAGATACAGAAAAGTTATAAATAATGTCAGGGAGTTGGAATAAACAGATGAGTTTGTGCTTGTTTATATAAGCTTAGGATCCCTTGCAAAGCTCTGGGTTCAATTTCAGTTATAGGCACGTCACTTGAATAACTGTAACCATCACCAAAGACTTTATGGATGGCACAGCTCGTTTATGGAAACTAAATCTATCAGAAGATACGGAATACCAAAAGCTAGTGTACATCTCCCTATCTTTTCATGGCTGAAGAAAAAAACATTGCTTTTCTGTTGAGTTTTTCTAGGTATGATTCTAGGTCAATTACTTGTCATTCACAGTAAGAAAAAAAGAAGGGCTTTTTTCTCTCTCCTGGGAATGTGTAAAACTTCCAAATAGAGTAGATTTAAAACATAAATTGAATTAACTCTTCTATAACTCTTACCTTTCATTTATAGCATTTCATAAATATATCAGGAGCTTGTGAAAATAATATTTTAAGTTTGATGTTATTATTCAAAAAGTTTGCATTGTAACTAACATTTGCTGTTGATTCCAAATTTATTATAAAATATAAATATAAACCCACATTTTATACTTATCAATAAATGTCTCTTCTGCTCAGAATGGTAAATTATACAAGCAGAATGGGCATGTATTCAGAATATGCTCAGAGAAACAGGTATAACATTTTAAAGCAAATACAAACTATAAATAAATGTATCTTTTCCAGTGGTGGAATTCAATTTTTTTTACTACCGGTTCTGTGGGCGTGGCTTATTTGGTGGGTGTGGCTTGGTGGTCATATGACTGGATGGGTGTGGCTTGGTGGTCATGTGACTGGGTGGGCATGTTTGGTGGTCATATGACTGGGTGGGTGTGGCCAACTCAATGTCACTCATGGCAAGGGGTGCCTCACTTGGCCCCTCTCCTCCCAGCCATTCCTTGTCACCCAGCCTCAACTTTATCTATAGTTCTGTAAAAACGTTGTTCACCTTTTTTGACTTTATTATCTGCATACTATAGATGTACTTTCATGGACCACTGAAAAGAGGAAATGGCTCACATGCTTTTCTCAAGAGTGTGATAGGCAACAGGCTTTTAAGGGGCTGCCACAAAGAAAGGGGGACAATGTATTTTCCAAAGAAGCAGAATGCAAACAAGAAGCAATGGATGGAAACTGAACAGAGAGAAGCAACCTAAAACTAAGGAGAATTAACCAGTGGAACTGTCTGTCTCCAGAAGTTCTGGGTGCTCAATCGCTGGAAGTTTTTAAGAAAAGACTGGACAGCCATTTCTCTGAAATGGTATAGGGTTCACCCCAACGTCCCTTCTAAGTATTATTCTGACACCTTTCCCAGGATTTCTACTCAGAGTTTGGCATCCTCAGTTTTCTTGCCTGAGCTGAGGGTTGGACTAGAAGACCTCCAAGGTCCCTTTTCAACTCTTGTTAAACACATGTGTATGTTATGCTCTGGACTGTTGACATTGAATGCCTGTAAATCCTGAAAAATATGTGATAGCCCTGGGCAAAAGAAAGGCAGAAAAATCACTCTAGGTGTAGCAACAGTGTAAAATATTAATACATGATAAATAATGGAACAATTAAAAATAATAGCACAGAGTTCTCTCTCTCTCTCTCTCTCTCCCTCTCTCTCTCTCTCTCTCTCTCTCTCTCTCTCTCTCACAGCACTTAACAGACAAGCATTTTGGAAGCAGCTCCTTTAAACTTCTCCAAGGCTGGAGTAGATTCCCCCACCCCCTCTGTCAGACCGCACTCCTTCTCACTCCAGACACTTTAACTCACACAGGGAAAGCGATACTTCCAGCGTCCATGCCTTTCTTCCTTTCCCCCCGGGGAGAAAGAGGACGTGGGGAACGGAAAGCTAGGAGAGCGATTGCAAGTGAACGACTGGGCGCCCAGGTTGGGGGTGTGGCCAGCCAGGAGTCGCCACCAGTTCGTCGACCCACGGCAAATAACCGCTACCGGTTCGCCCGAATTGGTGTGAACCAGTTGAATACCACCTCTGATCTTTTCCCTTCTCTCACTGATTATGTAAAAGAGTCATTTTTTCAGGAAGTATTGATATATTTGCTACTTCTGAACATGTAGTCCTCAAGAACCCCAAATCTATCACAATGATGATCAACTTAAGGATAGTGCTGCTTTGGACTACAATATTTCTCAAGCTCCTCTACTTTAAGATATGTGGACATCAACCCCCAGAATTCCTAGCTACCCATGTAATAATTCTTATTTTTTTCTTCTTCTCCTCCTCCTCCTCCTCCTCCTCCTCCTCCTCC